CGTCCTGATCCTCTGGTCGTGGCCTAGAGAGCTCGCATGTCGCAGGGGGTGGACATGGCCGGATCCCACGAGAGAGTTTGAGGCAAATCGGTGAGTCACCTTTTGACATGGTTGTAGAGCTCAATTAGGGAGACCTCCCCAGGCAACAACCTCATAGACCAGTCTACCCAGCCAGGGCCAGGGTGTCTCCCTATTAACATCCACATCCACATCGTATACGTGACATTGATCCATTCACCACTCGGTCCGAAGCTTCATCTCTGCCATGTTGCTCAACATCTCCGGACAGCTCCGCCAAACGCGCCTGGCAAGAGGGGAGAGGCAAGGCACGGAAAGGCACGGCAAGAGCCGGCTGTAATCATTCCTCAAGGAACTAGGAGAACAACTTGTATCGATTCTTTCCGGTTGGAGGCCATTGCTAGTAGGTTTGGAGGCCATCAAAAAAACACATAAAGGTCTTTTGAGAAAAAAGGACCAAATCATGCGATTCCTCATTCTTTGCGATCTTGATTGATGTGTGTGTGAAAACACCACCCCCCCAGATGTGTCGGCACGGCGCGCAAACTGACAAAACGCGCCCGGGAGCCATGAACAATTCCATCACACCGGGCGTCTGATAAACCAAATGTCAGATCTCAAGTCGAGATGTAGAAGTCTCTACACTCTGACTCACTAACATGGAAGTGGAGATCGCCTGTTGGTACGTATTCGGAAAGTAGTCTTCCAGGGGGCCATTGTCTACTTCCATGTTGGTGAGTCAGAGTGTATGTCTTGCTGGCCCCTGCTTTTTAAGAAAAAACACACTAAACTTTGAGGACGTTCTTTTCTATGTCTTGAGGAACAGGTGACTTGTTCAAGCCATACAGCCAGCATGAGTGTGGCTAACAAGGGACCCAGGGAGGACCCAAAAGGACCCTACAAATACAACCTTGATGGGTCCTACCATTGAGGAACAACATCCAATGATGCCCCAGTGTAATGAGTTGGCCGGCAACCAGGCTTCGTACATAGAAGTCAACAGTGCGATCCTGACATGGCGACGACTCAATTTGTTCAGCTTTGCCATGCCATGTATCTCCACACAATTTCAGCCAAACCATCCGTTTCCCGTAAAATTCCAAATGGTGATCCAGTCGTGATTCCATGCCGAAGGGAGGCCGCACCTCGAACTCCTGTCGAGCCTCTTGCCTCGAAGAAACAATGCTTCTGAAAAGCAGGGTCGGTGTTAGCTACAGGCAGCCCTGGGTGTGGATATGTTCCGTATGTCAGAGACCTCGACATGTCCGCATGATGACATGTGCAGGGCGAAGAAGGAGCTTCAAGGCAATCTGGATCAATCTGAATCTGAATCTGCCTCTTACCCTCTTTTACCTGTATTTAGACCACAAAGAATCATTCAATTGGTTCTTATATACCATCTTAGACTCTTAGACCATCAAAGCCAGCTGGTTCAATCGCCAAGCCATCGGCCACTTCAGACCCTGTTTCACCCTGGGCTCCTCCATTCAAACCCCACCAACCGTGACTGCGTTCCGTCCGTTGAAACACTCGAGACGTGGAGACGGGGCGACCTGCAACTGGTGGGACCATGTGGGACCTGATCCATCCATCTCCCAGGTGGTGTTCTGTGTTTTTGCGATCGGCTGAGGAGGCCACTTTTGATCGGCCAATGCTTTGGCATCGCTGCAGAAGACCTGGAGACGGTCCAAAAGCACCGGTTGGCCAAAACACACACACACACATCACACATCAGAAAACAATGCCCAGCGGCCACATCTTGGGTTGCATCCACTGGGTTGACCAAAACAATCTAGAAATATCTAGAAATGTACAAGTGAGATCACCTACTATATAATTATATAAGTGCAAAGTGTCTTGAGTCTTGGGATCCATTTTGACTATAACACTATCATCCATCCCCTAATCACCTCTCTCAACTCTCAACTTGGTGCGAATCCTCCCACTTTTGAACGATCGCGGTCATTGTCAGGCAGATCAGATTGAGACTCCACAGGACCCAGTTCCGCCCGAAAATCGTCGTCCACAAAACGCCACCGACACCAACGTGGATGCTCTCGTCAAGCAATGCTGCAGCACAAGCCAGCGCGCATGGCGCCAACTTCCATTTTTGTCTGAGACTGGACAGTGAGCAAATGCGTTTTAGGAGGGACGATGGCAATCAAGAAATCGTTAACTAGTCCAAGAGGACTAAGACTCCTTATGCTTCCTTCGCCTTGTGATTCCTTCACAATAAACCCGACAAGTCCAGAATCGCATTGTGACACCAGTCACTCACTCATGCTCGGAGCTTTCTGGGGCACTGAATCAATGAGATCTCTCTCTTTTGTGGGTCGGTGAAATGGACAGTGGGTCGCAGATACGGACCGTTGGTACCGACACAGAACAAGGGCCATGTGGGTCAGAATCCAATGAATCCCTACAAATCCAGGGTATACCGAACCTCAGGTACGGTGATGTCTTCGACACTCTCATGTCGGTGCCAAGTCACGTCGGGTCCAGTCGTACCGAACCGGGACAACGGATCCCTGTGGCCGATCAGTCGCGGTCCCTGTGGCGATCCGCACGACTCCGACCGGAGGCACCGTGCCATGGTGCAGAACCTCACGTGACAATACGTGACACACGTTAGTAGCGACACACCATTCGTGCACGTATGTGGGAAATCTTCAAAGAGGGCAAGGCAAAAAGGATGAAAACTATTGGAAAGGGATGTTTTCACATACAGGGCTAGCCGATTTATTTTGGTTTCAAAACCAAACAAACTTGAGGGCTGGACAGCGGAGCTTCTGTTTTATTAACGTGGAGCAGGCGCATTGCTTGTTTGGGGAGTCGAGTCTTGCAGCTACATCGCTTGACCCAATGAATTTGCAGCGAACTTGCCTTCGGCAATCACCTCACACCTACTGCAGTGAGAATCGACACTCATCAGCAATCGAAAAAAAAAAAAAAAAACATGTTCCGAAAACACAAGTAAGTTCTTCTTTCAGCATATGAGGGGTGGTCAAGCCTCTAAACTGCCCGCAAAAAGACAACACACCTGTTGTCGCTTGAGTTAGAGTACCCAGTTCCCACACATCGGGTGCGAGTTACTTCGTCCATCCTTTTTCTCACATCCCCAATGGCATGGCATCTGGCTCCACCTTTTCCTCCTTTGTACCAAACATAATACAGCATTTCCCACATGTTTTTTCAACCCTCGCGTTGGGATAAGCAACATTCAATATGTGTTTTTGGGGTCTTCATCTCATGATCCCTGGTTTTTTCCTGTCAAAAGAACGACCAAGGTTTGGGCACACTTCCTTTCCATCACAAGTTGTCGCCTCAAAGCCCTTTGTTTAGCCATTATCGCAAATCCGTACCGTCATGAATGACATGCCATGACACACAGAATATGATTCGACAAATTGTTACTCCATAGTAGATAAGCAACTAGTTTGGGGATGTGTTACCCAGCACACTGACCCGCAAATCTGAATGTTGCAACTGATATCGTAGACCATGCAACAATCGAAGAGGAAAACTGCTAGGGTCTTGGTAAATCTTGGATTATCCTCTCTACTCTCAACATATGCTGGTTCCGCGTCGATGGAACAAGGCCAATAGACTCTTCAGTTCAGGATGCTATCTACTGCAACTCTGGAGTCAATGGCAGGTGTGCCTCACCAAGCTGGGGTCTACTCCAACTGTCACCACAGTGGTTTTGGAGGCTTGAATCATGCACCCACATTGAACAATATCCTGAAATAAAGCCCTGGAGAAGACTGAAGACCTTTGGAACAAGCAAGTGCTTCAAAATGGTTCAAGTAGAAGAGCCTGAACCTCCACCTCCAACCATCTCCAGCTTATGGCTGCTTGGCCAACGTTCCTTTCGACCACTTGGCTGAGAGTGTTAAAATAAACCACAGGATCGATCAGATCCGCGAGACAAGCGTTTCAACGCTGGGCTGGTCCATGAAGATCCTTTGGAACTCACGGATTGAATGACAGAAGTTGTGGTCATTTGGATTCCCGCCTTGACATTGACAAAGTAGGAGTCAGTCTATGAATCATGTGCTGCAGATGACATAAGGGTCATCTTTGTGTGGGGTGGGCATCCTTTCTGAAATCCCTGATCAAAGCTAGCAACGGCCGCAAATCAACCTATATATATATAGAGAGAGGATACTCTCATCCAGCCATCAAACCCCAAATTCCTCTGACACTACAGTTTACGTTTAAATCATCACCTTCTTAAACTACTACTAAACTACACCCACAGGCCGTTTTGGTGGAGTATTTTGGATGAGGTTCCTAGTCACCCCTCCCCCCACCCTCTTCCACCCTCTCTGCGTTTCGCCTGTCTTTTTTGGATTCTCTGAGTCTGGCTTTCTTCCTCTGGCTAGGGTTGATCTGGAGTTGGTTTTTCAACTTTTTGACACGAGTTTCATAAACTAACCATAACATGTTTTCTAAGCGACCTTCCGGTGTTGAAGGACCATCGTACGGGGTGTCCACCTTTGCGGGTCCCCACGTACGGGAGAGAAGGACCCATCGTACCGATGAAACGGCGTTCTCTTGGCGTGATTGAAAGACAGGTGGAAGGGATTTCACGGATGATGAACGACTTTTGACCTGAACTCCAAAAATCCTTCAGCTCCTATGCTTGATTCCTTTTCCAGTCCAATCCTCATTCTTGAAAAGACTTCCCCTGTTGATACCTTCCTTGCTCCAATCCAATACTGACTTACACTATCCTCCCCAATAATTTGCTTGTCTCCACCTTCCAGAAAATATTCCTCTCCAATGCTAATCTACTTTCATCTCTATTCTAAACAAATCCACCATTCCCAATACTCGTCGAGGGGGAAACTGTAGTCAAACATGCAACAGTAATTCATGCAAAAGTTAGTTGCTCTCTTCGGCCAGTCCACCTGCCGTGCAGCCCTGCAGCCCTAGCCACATTCTATTCCTCATATCTGCCCAGGGCCCTATATAGTGCTTCACATTGAGAAAAGCCCTGAATTAGTTCGATGCTTGAACAGCGCAGCGCTGGTGCTCGCACTTGTCGCCCAAGCCAAAGCACGTGAGGTGGTGGCCCCTGAAACGCGTGGCCGAAACGGCCGGGGTGGCGGCCGTGACCTGAAAACACGTCTCCCAGTAGCCGAAGGAGGAATGTTCTTCAACAAGTTCTTCAACAAGTTCTTCAACAACCACTCCTTTGAGTTGTGAAAAAACAAAAAAAAACATTTAAAAAAACAAGCAACCAAGCGCAGGTTTTTCTTTTGGGCTGACACAAATTGGGCCCTTGGACTTGGGGCCAAGAGTGGGGTTGATGAAGGATGAACCCTTTTTCTCCAGGGTTTCTTCAACGTGGCGTCAAGCATGTTCTGGTGTGAGAGTGGGATCGAATGAGGGGTCAATAAGTTTTCAAGGACAATAGATATGTAAAAACATATATAGTTAGATCATAGTGTTATACAATACATAAACTATACAGTACATGTTTCATGTTCTTCCGCATGTCTTTCAAAACAACTCCCTGCTGGTCCTCGAAATCCGGCACTCATACTCACCCAGAAGGCAAAATGAGTCATGTAGACTTCCAAGGTGGTATCCTGTATCCTTCTCCATTCAAGACTGGTCTTCGCATGTCGGAACTCACTGACATGCTTGACACACGTCCACGTGTCAGTCGCTGCGGTGGTCAGTGCACCTTGGTCCTTCACTGGTGCCAGGCTGCAGGAATTCTTGAGGCCTTCGTGGGCAGGAATCTTCGATTGTTGCGGAAATCACCACGTGAGATCTAGGGATGCCCATTGTCTCTGGGTCCATCTAAAAACCCCACAGTTCGTAAAGCAATAAAGAACACCACCACCTATATTGCCCAGGTCGCATTTCTTTGGGCCCAAAATATCAAAACGGTCGTAAATCACTGGCCTTCGTAGCATTCTGTATGTTTTGGGCGTTCTAACACAGGTCTCAACCATCACGAGGATGTCTACACTGGCTGTGGAACCATTGATCTACTATATATAGTATTTTTTTACTGTTTAATTCTACCAGCACTAGCAGTGGAGTTGTTCCAGCCGACAACTACCACTTGCTCGGTCTCTCCGCCCAACGACCACTCGGTCCACGAGGCTCGCCCCCATCCAGGTCACGGACGCGCGCTGAGGGAGGGCCTTGGGATTTCACCTCTTCGTATCTCTCATCTTCAAAGAGCTCTCGCAAGACCGGTAGAAATCCTCAGGACTGACTCATCTGATTGAGAAGTAGGAACCATGACAATCGGGTGGCAGGATCTTCTTTGGGTTTCAATGTCTATATATGTATGTCATTATATGTCTGTTGATTTCAATCGACACATCGATGTATACTGTATACTTACTAGATGTTGCACAAGTGTCTTGCATGAACAAGCAGGAGTTTGCTGGACACCAAGTTATGCTCCATTCACTCCTGCACTGTCTGCTTAGCACTGAGGTAATCGGTACAGGTTCCACCAACACCCTTGGCAACCTCCAACTTCGAGAGCATCACTACCACATCTACGGCATATTCACCAACCAGGTCAGTCCCGCCTTCGAAGAGCTGAATCTCATCGTCACCCAATTGAATGGTCGAAGGAAAGTACTTCTCTTCATTGGCCTCAGCCGGTGAACTTCCGGACGAACATTCGATGTCAAAGGTCTGAGGAGCTTTATGGTGACCAGCAACACGTTAGCAACGAAGACCTCGGAACGACGACCTCGGAGAATCCGAGCCGCCCCCATTCTGGCCCGGTCCCGGCCGCGAAGAGAACTAACAGGTGCTGATTGATCGCCACACGCGTGGCGCTTGCGTAGCTTCATTGAATTCACCCATGGAGACACCTAACACGGTTTTGCTGTGACCCACCAGTCTCCAATTCCTCCTCCATCTTTCCAGCTCAGAGCAATCTTGACCGGTCCAAGGGATGCTTTTTGTTTGAGTTCATGTTAGTTCCACAGCTCAACAGCTAACCGTTTGAAAACGGGGTTCATCCATTTTCAACCAGCTTGTTTCATCTTTTAAGTCAAGGCACATGGATAAGCCTGAGCAGCTCCTTGGCCTCACCGCCATGCAAAGGGTCATCGCGCAGACTCAGCAAGCGCCAATAGATCCCCAGCATCAAACCTCAACTGGCACACACACAATACAGTACAGTTTGGACTCAAACATGTTCGTTGAACCTTACCTTTAACAGTGTAAGGAAGGCGGTCTGAAGCTGTTTAAAGCCGATTAGAGCCAGCCAAATAGCCACTGTTTGTGGTTGTGTGCTCTAACAACAGGGTCTCAAGTAAACGGACCTCGACCACCTAAAAATAGCACCTATCCTATCCGAAGAGCGTTTGAATAGCATCAAACATCAAGTAGAAGGGACGTTCGGTGTGTCTTGCTCCTGGTCTTCCCGATCAGTAGGTGTCCTCGGGGTACGGTCTTCGCCTCTAAGCTGTGACGAACGTCGCATTCCTTTCAGTGCGTCGAATGCGAACGACGTTCGAGGACCGGTCGTCTGTCGCCACCGTCCGCTGTCCAAGACTCCCATCATCCTCTGCTTGTCACACAATTCACCAGGATGGTCGTTCCTCAAACACATGAGCCGGCTGGAACCGGCGTGATTCGCCACACATCCTTTCGTTTTCTGCCCGATGTGTGTCGGGGGACCCCCCATGCAGGATGCCAAAGTTTTAGACAGTGGAAATCCAGAAAAGGGACTCAAAAACGAGGATCGCTTTTCATATCTGTTCGATGTGACAGGCTTGTGGACAGCCTATGGCCTATCAATGGCAACAACTGTGAAGGTGTTCCATCGCGATGATAAGAAATCATGATCTTCTAGTCAGGATAACCCACACAACACGAAGCATGGAGTTGGTGCCCAGCCAGATTTTAGATACGTATACAGTATACAGCAACGAAAAACAAATCAATTGGATGGGTGCTCTATAGTCCTAGATACTGTCCTAGATACATACTTGATGCCAATTCTAATTATCTTGACAACTTATATACACAGGCGGCGGCGCATGGTTTTTTGCATACCCAATTTCTTAGAATAACACAACGGCATGCTGCACTCCCAGACATTGTTGTTGCCTTTTCTCCCACCGATCCCATTCATCTGCACCACTCTAAAAACCCTCAAACACATTTTAGAGGGAACAATCTCTATAGGAAAAGCGTGTAGCGTTACACCATGAGAATGATCCGTGATCATTTAAAAGAACATGTTCATAAGTCAGCACGCGCCCACTTAAGCGGGTCCAATCGCAAAAACTGCCTTTTACATTTGAACACTCTAGAACCTCTCTAAACTTGTCTAGACTTATATAAGCACTTGACTTTAAAAAAGTTTAGAGTTGGCAGGAGGGGGGGTCTGTGGCCCCAGTCTGCTGGAGGGAAGCTCTCTGAAAGGACTTTGTCAAGCTGTCTTGGTAGCAAAGAAGATATCCAACACAATGGGACCCCCAAGCAAACTGGAGCCACAAACCCCCCTTGCAGGCATCCTTTGAAGTCATAGAGTGTCTCTCTAAACTTCTCCAAACCACTCTAAGAAATTATCATTGTGAAGTGCTCACTGGAAGTGGTATTCAGAATAACCGGCGGTTCTCTTCAAACATTCAAAGTTATGAAGCAACACAAAATCAGCAGATTCCACTGATGCTACTTTGGGCTCCCAAACGACTTCGGCAGATCTGCTCTAAAAATTCAGAGATCCTTTTTCCGAGGCATTTGACTTAGAATGGTTTGTATAGATAACAAGTCTAGTGCGGCTAGTGCGGGTGAGCGCTTTAGTGTGGTTTAGAGCGGCTGAGAGTGTCTTTTAGTTGCTTTAGAATTGTTGAGATATTGAGATCTAACATCTAGATGAAAACAGCCTGTGGCAACAGTCTACCCTGACATTCCTGACTATAGGGATTGGTTCCCACCATTGGAAACTGAACCCAGCTGGTATGCCAGTTGCAGCAAGCATCTCGCAGCACGCGGTAACACCAGTCATCACTTCAAGGTCATCCCAGTCACAGTCACCCGGCCTCTCCTGTCAACCATGGCTGGCAATCTCTGGCCAAAAGGAATCAAAAGGAAGACCCTACCAAGAACAAACCGTGTCAAATCCTCCGTGTTTGGCTTCTGCAGCACGTGCGGCCCCTGCAGCACGGCTCGACGCACTCCACGCATCGATCCGCGTCGATCCAAAAACACTCCACACGCACCGCGGTCCCGCGCCGCTCGCTCCGGCGGTCCTCCTGGAGGTGGTCGGTGTAGCGCCAAAGCCTTCGGTGCGATCGAGTGGACCGATCTCCAGCGCCGACCGATCTGAGCAGAACGTGGTGCGAAAAAAGGTGCCAATGATTCGTCCCTCACACGAGCCCTTCAAATACACAATGCATTCGACATCATGGTGGATGAAGATCCTTCCGATCCCCCGTCTCGATCCCTGAAAAGAGAGACTTGGCGTGTATGTGCAGAGCCTTCGAGTTGAAATCATACACACAACATAATAGTTCAAAGTAGTAAGATGTAAAAGAAACAAATGCTAGTTATTTCATGTTATTTATCATGTTTGTTTCTTCTATTTGTTTGGCAAGAGTATGTGCTGGAGCCTTCGAGTTGACCTTTGTGCCAGGCCACTTGCACTCTGTAAAGGGGCGACACGTGACGTAGCACAGCCGTTCCAAGCGACACCAGCTCCGATGGCCGTAGCTGGACTCATCCATCAAAACACCTGCGGATGGCCGTAGTCGGCGGGGCACGCCGTTGCGTGGCAGATCCATGTCGAACCGAAAACAAGTTCTGCCAGCGTCGCAGGTGACGCTGATGTCCGGATGGCGGTCTTGGTGTTGCTTCTTGATTGCAAAAGGACTGAAGACAGTCATTTGAAGTGCAAGTGACAAGGAACCTCCGTTCCTCGGTTTCATCTGGCATCTGGCATATCAATGATGATAATGCTGTCCAATGTGCTGCACATACATGGGATTCCCCACATTCACAATTCACACTCATCAATCCATTCTGGGGTCAGACTGCCGCACCATCCGCACCTGTGTCTGTGTGGTAGCACAAAGGTGCCACTGACAGGAACATGCTGCAACACCGTGTGTACGCGCTGATGGAGTTCACAGCACTCTGTTGCTGGATCCGGTTCTGCTGGGGAACGCAACAATAGTCCTTGGCTCCACGACGTTGGCTGAGAGCGTGTATCTACAGACTTGGACACGTTGTATGTATATGTTGTTGAGCGGGGATCAAAGGCCCATTGAGCGGGGATCTCAAGCCCATGAAAAACATCTTTCACGTTGTGAACGCTTCTTTGGTGCGGTGCATGGTCGAAGTCGTACCATCATGCACCGTCCACCTGACACACTCAACCCGGTTGATCTTGATTCTCAGTTCCCCAGCATAAAGTTACCAAGATTTACGCATAAACATCATCACCCATTGGAGCTTAGCTCGTTGAATTCCTGGTGGTTCGAGAACCAGGAAATGATTGACACTCTCAAGGCCTCTTGCAGGACTCCAACTGGTTAGGGTGCCTACAACTCACCAACAAACAACCCTTTGTTGAGAGCCGGATCAGGTACTTAGGTACTTGGAATGCCACTGTTTTGCCGGCTCAACATGCTGGTGATGAACCACGTTCCTGCCTCTTTAGGTGCTCTTGAGACCTGACCCGAGTTCCTATCCGTATCCATCCGCCACAAAGGCTTGGCCCCATTTGTTTGATCAAGGTGTGAAGGATGGTCAAAAGCAACTATTCCACCCTCCAAACAGGAACCTGTTTTTGGGCTCATCTACTATTGGCCATTGGACCATCCCTCACGTCAGCCAATTGCCGTTGCAGGTGTCAACCCAAAGCCAATTGCACTGAAGTCCCTTCTGCTGCAGCTGCTGAATAGCTGTGACCATCGCATGGTACTGAACTCCCACAGGGTCGGGTCTCCCAAAGCTCACCTGTCGCGCAGTGCCGACCCATGTGGCCCACATGTACCAGCTAGTCTTTGACGCCAGCACGCGCCAGCCAAGTGGTATTTCATGGGCCAGCCAAGTCTTGGAAGATGTTTGAAGTCAGTGTGTTACAGCAAGTCTTCGTGCATGTGGCCTGCAGCGACTGACATCAAAGTCACGCAACCAGGGAACGCTACTGCAGTAGATATTCCCTGCATAATATGGAAATACTTTCTATGCACTGCCTCCATCACCCATCAACAACTCAGTTCTCGTTAATTACAATCAACCGTTCTCAATACCATCCGGATCAACTCTCGCTCTCTCTCTCTCCCTCTCTGGCTCTCTCTCAGGAGTTTCATCCAGATGATGAAGTCTTGCCAGGCAGCCCATTGGTGGCTGATGAACACTACACCTTCTTGCCTGAGGCACACGCGCCCACTGAATCCGACGAGAAAGTGGCAAAAAACACCGTGTGCCCTTTCCGGGTGAACCATGGCGAAATCAGTGAGGCTTATATAAGCAGAAGAAGGACATCAGAACATGAAGTCGAGTCATATCCAAAGTATCCTGACAGAAAGGTGGCCCTGTGGCACCTGTGGCCTCGAAAACTTGTGGCCTGTCGCCGAGTGCCGTTCGATCGAAAGGGCCTTCTTTCTCTGTTTTGCGAGACATACCTCAATCATACGACCAACCGTTGACCGTGGGGTCGAAGCACCCGACGAACCGACGAGCCGAGGCCCATCGATTTCGATGTCCCACTCGAGGAGCCATCTGATCTGCGATGCAGGCTCCCCTCCGAACTGGAAGGATGAAGGGTCAGGCATGAAGGGTCACTGATCAAGACAGAATGGCTTTTCCCAACCGAAATCATCTGAAATCATGAAACAAATCACTGAATACCACTGACCTCAGGGGCCTTACACCCGCCACACATGTCCCACGCTCACTGCTGGGCCTTTGCAGCTGCTGGGCTTGTTCACAGCTGTCCAGGGAGCGGAGCTGCTCGCGGCAGGCTTCGAAGGGTACCAAGTGGCCAAACCTCAGTTCCATTCCGAACATTCGCCACTCACCGTCGACCGTCGCGACCGTCGCTCCACCTACCCAACACCGGTCGACCGTCGGTTCCGTTCCGACGGATCGGAGCGGCGCCCTCCGAGCGGCGCTTCGGCTCCGAGCAAGCGACGTCGCGAAGGAGAAGGCAAGCGGCGTCGCGATGGAGGCAAGGTGTCTACTTCACAGAACGTTGGTACGTTGGTACTAACGCAAACAGAACAAACATTTAGTTGTTGAGCATCCCAAACCATCAGCCATGAATCTCAATCCATGACTAGATGGGCCCAGCGAAGGACCTCATTTTGGCCTGTCACAAGCTCTATGATGAGGTTTGAACCGGAGAGGTGCTCTCAATCTAGTGCCTCCTTCTTCCAAGTCCATTTACTCCACGCAACCATACAGCGCCTCAGAATCCTCGGGTTCAAAATCCCGCATGCAAACGTGGCTGGTTTAGTTGGGCCGGCCTATTATGGTGAGTAAAGGCATGTAAAGGCCTTGTTCAAAAAACGTGATCATTGTTTACCGACTGTTACAGGTACTAGCACAAACCAAGATATTATGTGTATATTTGATTTTGTGTTCCAACATATTCCACGTATCAAACCCCTGGCGCATGGCCTGAGATGATAAATCAACAACTCAACCGGGAGATCCACACAGCCTGGCGCTGCCCGGCGCTGTCCCCGCCGTGCAACGTCAGAAAGTCCCGGACGTTCACCAGGCACAGCGGAAATTGAAACACCTCCACAGGCGAGGGCGGCTCGGTGCGGCTCGGCCCCAAGGCATATAACGAAAGAATGCTACCTGACCCGATGCTGACCCCCTGAGCTGCTAACCTTGTCCGCTCATTCAGGCCGTTGGTAGGCGAGCCAATCCGCCAACCAGAGAGCCACTGATTGGCTAGGTTGATGTTCTCTGTTGGCGGTCTTCATGCGGATCTCGTATCCGCTCGTATCTCAAAACGTCTACCCTAGAAACCGTTTCTTCGAGTGATGGAACACAACTTTTTGACCATTCAAAACCTCTCAAAAACAATCGGAGATGAACACCAAATCCCGAGGAATGCTGAGTCCTTCAGTCTTGAAATGTCAACGAGTGGTGCCGAGAGTCAAGCCTGTACGAGTCACTTGCCTCTTCAGAAACACTGTCTCCAAGAATATTGCAACAATTCAAACTATTGAACAAAAAACTGGAAGTGTTCGGGCATCACACCCTACTAGTGGTAGCTCTCCAAAGTGTGAGAACTTGACAAATTCCTTTCCAAAGATTGACCTTTTCCCGTTGACCATGCTCCAAACCCCAAAGATTGACCACAAATTACAAGCGTTCACACTGTGTGAGCTCCGGTGTCACGTTTGAGAGACCAAAGAGCACCTGTCCGCAATTGTTCTTCCCAAACGAGCCTCCAACGTGGAAATGGATGCAGAAATCGCCTGCACCTGTCCCAGCGCCCAGCACAATCGAGAGAATCTGGTGTCAAACCCGCAGGACCAACAATCTTCAAAACGAACTAGGGCCAAAGAGGTCAACCTACGTTTCTTTGAGGCCAGGTTTTGGCTCCTGGGTTCTTGGGCCAGTGGAAATTCCTGAAGAACGATGATTCACAGGGAAAAATTAAGATCAAGTAGTGACAAACAGTCAGTCAACTGAATGAACTTTAGGGACTTCCGGGCGATGCCGTCCATTTCGCCTGGATCCATCCATATCCATCCGCTGCAGGATCATTGGGCCTCCCTCAAACTGACATTTCCTTTAAAACAACATATTTTCACTAATAGTATGCCAACTTAAACAACCAGAAAGTTGTGGATGGTTGGAAGTTGATTTTCAACTCACAATGGTTCCACCAAAAGCACAAAATTGACGTAACGTTTCTTTTGCCACCAAGGGCACACGAACCTCCTTCCTGTAGGCTAAGGACTTCTCCAACTGCCGTGCGTTCGCACGCAAGGTGAAAAGCACCTCGAGTGCACAGCGAGGTGCTGATGACTAAGCTCCGGGACCTACTACCAACCTATATCTATATCTATATGTGGCTGAGGGTCACAACCCATCACAACCCTGGGGACCAAGAAAAATTGACCAGGTAAACCAGCCTACCGTGGATACTACATCGTAACATCGAAATTAGCTAGGGGCATCATCAAAAAAACCATGCATTAGTATATCGCCATGTCACAGCACTCTGGGAGTCTCTATACATGCGCAAAACTACACATTGGTGCCAAACAGGCCACCGTTTGTGACCCATTGGTGTGGCTGACAGCTAGAAGCAGCTAGAACATGGACATGATTGGGGGGCAGCAGTTTCATTGTTCTTCGCTGCCTGGGTTCATCACATGCCCCGTTACAGAATTCCTCGGTTTTCTGGCGACATCGCCGTGGGGTACCTGAGTACCTCTCCGGACCTCGGTCCGAACGGCTCATAACGACTCGTTCCCTTGAGGCCGGCGTGTTCCTGAGAGGGACTCCGGTGAGCGCTGGAACCGTCACGTGCTTGTTTCGGGAGACGTGTGGCCCAAGTTGGCCTGGGGCTCAATCGCCTGGTCCCTCTGTCAATGCTGCCATGTGCCCCACTTTTGGGCTGTGAAAACACCAGCGTGAGGGGCCGTGTTTGGTGAAGTTTGCTCGCAGTCCCACACTCGCACGTGTGCCGCCTGGGGTCGTTGTGTCGGGGAGGAGACCTCGACACAAAGTGTTCATTTCACGCCATGCATGTTGTTGAGCAGATTAGTGTTGCGCGCGCATGCAGCCCAAGACATCTGAGGGATTAAGACCCCCTTGTTGCCTCAAACTTTGTGGCATTGGCTACTAGCCTGTGTAACCTATATATACACTATTCGGTGGGCCAGGGCCAGGGTCTGAAGTTACCGCAATTAAGCACCACTCCACCAACTATAAGAATGGCAATGGCCACACTGAACTCCTGCACTTCCATGCCCCAAATTGGTGGCCGCAGGCCGTAGCCGTAACCATGTGGCACAGTAGCGACGGACTTTTGGTTGAGGTGTTTTGCGCTGGTTCAAAAGCCTTCAAAGAGACCGCCGCTTTGCAAAACAGCAAGCTATGGCTATATCTATATGATGGAAGGTGCAAAAGTAGTAGCTCTGGGGACTGTCTATATGCGTACAAAGACCGAAGACCATCAGAGTAAGTAGCACAAAGGGCAGAAGTGGACAATATGTTGAGGTTTTAGTGTTGCTCTTGCTCTAGCTTTACCATCAAAACGCTGCACAAGACCAGAGCCAAGACGAAGCCGAAAAAGGAACATAAGTGCAATGAAGTTGAAAGTTCTGTTGTTCTCGCTCTCCCTCCTCGTACTCTAACTTTACCAGTACCACCAAGAGGCTGCACAAGACCGAGGGGAACAAAACAACACTGATCAAGAAGAAGACATACATAGACATACCTAACACAAAACTGACCTTTGCGTTCTCATCCTCCCCTGTCCCTTCTTCCTCTTCCTTCGCTGTTTGGCATAAGCCTCCGAATAAACATGGAAAACGTTGTTCATCGGATTTTGTGACTGATTTTGTGCGGGCAAAACGAACCAAAGATTGACAGCTTCGTCCAGAAATCTGCCGCCACCCCGCAGGATCGGCCCTTCGTCCCTTTGAAATCGACACGGATCCGTCTGACCTTTTTCGTTTGATGATGCTCCTTCGGAATCAACGGGGTTTTCTGGCAAGCTCCTTCTGTGCGAAGAAAAAACGATGCAACAACCTAATCCCAAGCAACTCTGAGTTGCGATCTTTTGGGTTGAAGATGATGTTGAAACGTGCAGGGCCAAACCCACGTGCGGGACCAGCAAGGTGATGTTCTATTATATAAGGGTTTGCCAGGGTCTGTCAAGCGCCGCTTAGCTGTTTCTTGATGTCATAAATGATGGTGCAAAGGAATGACACAAAGTATGATCAACCTACGAAAGTCAGCACAACGACCAAATGGCACGGCTGAAACACGTTTGGTTTTGACATGTGACTACGAAAGTCAGCCCACATCCATTCATTTCTTCTACCTTGGATGAGAATGTGCTTCAGAACAACCTCTTCAAACCTTGGACTTGGAAAAGCCTCGACCAGTCACAGTGCGTATGGACCAGTCACGTTGATGCCCAAGCCGATGCTCAGCATTGCCGTGATGGGCAGGACCAGCAGGAGGTTCAGCCACTCGCTGGTGCGAGCAATCTGACGCCCGGCGAGACGGCGGAAAAAGAGAAGCGAAGAAGCGTTTTTTTTGGCATGTAAAGAAGCTAAAAGCGATGGCCTCCAACATACTAGCGATGGCCTCCAACCTACGAGTAAGAGTGATGTACAAAAATAGACTATTTTTGTTGATTGTTACATGATTATCTCGTCTGTCTGGTGTGGTGTGGCCTGGTCTGGTTTGGTCTGTAGATGTCTGTAGTCACTGTATAGTCACTGTGGTCTGTCCACTTAGTTTTTGGATGTTTTTGGCACCCCTTTGATTCTGTGTCCATGTTCCAAAACCATCCCGACCTCCCCGCTCCCTCTCCGCACAGTGGCCACCTGCAGAAGGCCACTACCGCGGTCTCCGCGTCCGCGGCCATGGACCGAAAAACAAATACGCCCACGCCCGATCTGCAGCCTGCCATCCGTTCACGGGGCAGAGCTCCAAGATCCAGTGCACCCCCAACTCCGGCACTTCGACCGAAGCCTCTACAACCTGCATCGAAGCTTCATCGCGCAGAAGAAAGCGAAGAGGGGAAGAGATCGCGTGAACGGGGATGGATACATGGATACAGTACGCTTTGGTTTTCGCACGAGCTGAAGGAGATGAGAATTACTTATGCTGTGCTGTTTCTCCAACATCGGTGGCTTTGGGAATGCAACATCGGTGCAGGCGGTGCATACCAAAGAGCAAACCATACCTTCCAAGCTCTTTTGACAGCTGCAGCAGATGCAAATCTAAACCTTTGACCAATTCGATGCCATTCGAACTATTTACATCAGGTCGCCAACGAAAGTGCTCTTGTGGTCTTGGGTTGGTTCGAAACGGCCTGGCTACAGTGGAGGCCAGGCATAAGATTGACCAAGATTGACCAAGAAAATGTGCCAAGACTCAAGACAATGCAACTTGATGTTTGTTTTTTGTTTATTTTTTCGAGGATCAATCCAGTGTGGATAACCTTTAACGGTCACATATGGTCACTCCCCCCCTCTGGCTCGATCGTCATCGCCTCGTGCAACGGACTCGAGGACGAGCACGGCCCGGGGTCTCTCGTGGATCGACGCGGAGCTTCTGGAATTCACGGTGGGGTTCTCATGGTCCAAGTCTGGTTGCGTCGTTTCTTCTTGCCCCGACATGAAACACTCTTAGTTAGACTCGTGTTCTTTTCCCCTCATCGTCCGCGAGCGTTGGGGCGTTGGACCGGTTCGAGAGATCGACGACCCTCTCTGCTTCGAAGGTCGGATGTAAAACAGTTACAGTCATGGTCAGGTCAACAAGGCCCTGAGGTCATTCCAACCCACCAGCGTGCCATGTGGATGGTCACAACTTCCGGTTCAAGGTGTAGCATTCTTATGCAACAAAACAAACACCTCAAGTGGCACAAGGTGCCTCAAGTGGTCTTCGCAGTGCTCCTCCCCTCACATCTGCCCATCCATCCGGGAGACAAGTGATAGTCGAAGTTCGAGTACCCCGCTACCCGATGCACACCGGTCGCCAAGTTGGAAAACTCCACCGTCCTGAAACATGAGCACGGCCGAAATGGGATGGGTATCAAATCCCACCAGGCCAGGGGTGTGCTGTTCCAGGGGGGGGATAGATGGGACAGGGCATATCTTCTACCAGTACCGCGGCTATCGTCTCTGGGGAGGAGAACTGCGGTGATCTCGTGTCTCCAGTTCTCCAGTTCGACTCCCCGAGTGGCTCAAAAAGTGAGCGTCCTCCCCGAGCACGGCACCTCGAAACGGTCGCCGTGTTCTTTTTGGTCCGGACGGTTGCTGCGGTGAATTACGGGGGGGGATGCTTGCGGGGGATGACAGTCCTCAAGTGTCCATCCGAGTTGGAGTGATTCGTTGGTCCTAGTCTGCAACAAAGCTCAAATATGGAAATCGGTGCAAGTCTGCAAGTCGTAGCCTTTCTTGGAGGAACCAAAACTGTTCTGAAGTTGAAGATCTTCACAGTTGTTGGACCACAAACATCTGCGGACGACACAAGAGATACGTCCTCAAATCTGCTTCGACTGTGCTGCGGTCGATAGTACATGTTTTTCATGATTGCCCAATTGTATGATGCGACATTATTGTGCACAGTTTCTTCATGGTACAACAATGTCAGTGATCTCCTGAGAAGATCATCGAAGGTAGACATCATAATGGCAAATCCTTGGTAGCAATGGCAACGCCTCGGACCTGCAGGCAGCCTGCAAAACGCCTGCAGTTGGTTGATACCCTCCGACTTACTCTCATAGAAGTGGCATATATGGCATATGAGAAAGCAACAGAAAAACGTGCGTTCCTGTTCTGTTGACCCCGGGGTTTTCTTAGCTTCAGAAGTGTGAAGGGTCATGCGACTTCGGTGAGTTGGAGGGTGACCTCAACTCTGGCGCTCTGGCGCTCCGGAAGGGTCAAGCCGCGTGGCCAGAGGGTTCTATGTGGACATCCGAGAAGGTGGAGGACGTGCCGGACCTGGGGGAATATGCAGGATATAGAGGTGTGGTTCTTTATATAGGAGAGAAATGCGGTTTCTTTTCTGCACTATATACGGCAATCGGCCTCACTTCTTGGCAAAAGACTAAACAATACTAAACTTATACGTTTTGAATGAACCATATCAGCCAAGCTCTAAGCGTGATACCAAAACACATCGAGGCAGCCTTGGACTTTTTGCAGACTCACCATCCACTAGTCACTCAAGATTGCTGCTGACTGGCCCAACAACCCTGACAAAATCGCCAAAGCTCCCCAGAAGCACGCCGGAACACCACTGGAGGTGTTGCTGCAGTGCCTCAAAGCGTAGTCAAGTCAGCAGCACTGGTCTTCTTGGCCACCGGTCTTCAGAGTGACGAGCACAAATGACACTGTTCATGCTTACCTCATTTGGAATATGTGTAAAGTGAGAAGCACTGGTGGCCAGTTGCATGGCCTTCCCGCTGATGGACTCTTGGTGACTTCCAATTGCATCATGTGGACAAATGTGGGATGATGATGTTAATACAATATACAATACTATATACTGTTTAATATGAACTATTATGTTATAAAGCATACAATTAATAAACATGATAAATGTGTTGTTCCACCATAGGGCGAACAGTCTCCACTCCCCTAGGCCCCAAAGGGCCAACCCCCCCACCTGGTGTCGTTGACATCGACCATCAAGCCATCCTGAAAGACTGGTGGCGCATAGGAGGTGAAGATAGGGCGACAAATCATGATGGCGCGATCATGACCGTCAGGCGTCCACGTCGACATCTGCACCTCCTGAGAAAGGCCAAGCAAGTGGCGCTTGCACAACATCGAAGTGGGCTGAAAACATCGAAGTCCTCAAAACATGGAGACATACATGCTAAGGAAATGTCATTATAAAAATGAACTTCAACTTGGAGAAAAAGGACTGCGTGTGCGAGCTTTTTAGGACCAAACCAGGAAACGGCATTGAGAATCATTCACCAAGCCGAATTCTCGATCATCTGTCCCCGCAGTAAAGTAGTTAAGTTATAAAGTCAACCATGTTTACCCTGGATTTAAGCTAACTGATCCAGTCATGGCGGACATCGACTTCGCGGTGATGAGGTGAAAAACCCACAGAAACGGGGCATCCAAACGATGTCCAAGCCCCTTGCAACCCTTGAGCCCATGGGGCAGGGCGTTTTTGTTCCTCCGCCGCCCAACAGCAGGCAATTTGAAGATATATATACTTATACACGGTATATGTATGACATGTATTGAGGCTCCCCCACTTCCCGTCAAGACGCTCCCCTCTGCATGGCTTTCATTGCTGGTGCAGCCAAGTCCGGATGGAGCAAAATCGACAGATTCTGAACCTCGTCACGTGGACCATGGGCGACATGGGCAGCTGCTGTTGAATGTCAAGCAGTCCGACGAACCCAAGTGATGGGCAGCTGGATGTGAGAACCCAAGTCGTGCTTTTCTGGTACTTGATGGGTTTACGGCCATACATCCCAAAGAAGTAAGTGATGCGAGAGATTTTGTCATCCATATCATAGAACCCTTGCAACCAATGCCCGAGTGTACCACCCTGTTACTTGTAAGATGTTTAGGGGTGGTGAAAAGAAGCCCAGGATGCCTGATTGCTGCTTGTTTTTTTCCCAGGTCAGTTGTTTGTTTGTTTGGTGACAAAAGAATTAACCAAGAACTCCTGTAATGTGTCGTTTGCGCTAGATATAGATGCATGTTCCGTGTGTGACTTTTGGCCTCGGCATATCTGATACCATCTGATCTTTCCAAACAACAAAACATGTGGCCCCCCCACAGTCTCCTGAGCGTCACGCCGAAACAAGGTGAAACAATGTGAGGTCTTCGATTCGGTTTCAGTATCAACCAGTCTTCCAAGCCGATTGAGCTCTGGTATTTTATTGAGTACAGTCATGTAGACTCTTGATTCATAAACCGCCTGTATGAAGAGGATGTCCAATTCCAATGGGGGGGTGTTATTCATCAAGAGTCCACATGGAAAGGACCCAGTCCACCGGCCAGGCCGCGGACCGCTCCGACCGCAGCCCATGTCTACCATCTGAGAAGCATGAAAAGGACCTGCTGGATAGACTCGCCTGAGTTTCTGCAGCGAAAAGGAGAAAGCATGTGAACATCCAGCGAACAAGAAACTTGTATGACGCACTCACGGAACCATTTCACGATTTCAACAACTTGCTGGCACACCATGTCTCACTTGGTGGCTGAAGCCATTGTACAAACACAACAGAAAATATTGTTCACTTTGGTACTCACTTCGGTACATTTCACAATGATTTGCAAATGCCAGTGTCTCTTTTGCAGCCGCTGCCCCGCAGGTATGCCTAGCTGCTCTACCCGCCCATGAGGTGCTAAGCCAAGGCTTGTGATGCCCTGATAGGTGGAAATCAACGGATGTGCCAGTCCATCAAAAGATCCTTGGACGAGAAGGCCATGAAGGGTTGACCCACGTGCGGGACGGTGAGGCAATGGTCAAGTCACAAAGCTGAATCAAGAAGCTTGGGGATAGGAGGACCTTTAGTCACCAGAATAGACCAGAGGACTAGGGGATAGGACCTTCACTCGACCAAAGGGGGGTCGCTCGACTCGATCGCTCGACTCGACCGGGTGCATGGACTCGGACCACAGACTTGGGCCAGGCCACCATCACCGGCACTTCGAGGAAAGCCGTTGGAGTGAAAAGAACCGGGTAAAACACATCGCATCGCAGGACTTGACCAAAAACATCTCCAAACCACATCGCTTGTTCGGAACACTCACCACCATTAACCACGGTCCGTTTCCGGTGTTCCGCTGGCGGAACACGACTCGTTTCCCCGGTCATCCAGAGTGAAGTGGTGCTTTGACGGTGGGAAGGGAAGGGAGCGAGCTGGCACGAGTTGCCTCCAACTGATTCATGATGCACAGTATAGATGCATGCTTTCTTTCTGTTGCCGTTCAATTGGGCGGCGAGTCCTGACACTGTTCCGCCGGAGTCCTGGCACTTCAACATTGGAGACTTGGGACTGCCAGGTAGTTCATCTCCCCCCAAAAACACTTCTTGCCCCAGGTAGGCCGTGACCGGCTGTGTTGGTCCATTTGAATGGATTGCTATATATATATATACAACATCCCAGATGAAAGGTGAGTCTGAGTTGCTGTTGGCTTTTCAGAAAGAAGAACATGAAAGGGAGTAGAAATGGAATGAACAGAAACTGAGAAGGATATGACAAGGAAACAAGGAACATGAAAGGATATGAAAAGGATCGAACAGACAGTAAAACAACATGGACAAAAACAAAGGAATAACAAAGTGAAAAAGACCTGGACATGACAACGAACTGGAAAGGGAACATGAAAAGGAAAGGGACAAGGAACACTAAAAACAGACAAACAAAACATGAGTGAGTGCTTACGACGCGTGTTTGTGTTCCAATGGGTGGTTGACCAAATCTGGTTGACAAAACGGGCGGCGCTTGCGTTTCACACCCTGGACATCGGTCACTCATCACGAAAGGCACCCTGAACCAGGTCATGTACGCATGTGCTGTGCGGCGAAGAAGGGCTTGCCACGCACGTGCATGCGCATGTCGTTGTTCCATGCTCAGATCCTTTTTCCTTGAAAGGGAATAAAAACACATCCACACCCCCACAAGCCTTTTCCAACAATGTGAATTGAAACTGATCTGACAAGGTTCCCGAATTATTATCAAAGGTTTGCAATCCACCCAACATACCATAGATGGTGGCGCCTCCTTCGAAGACATGGGTCTGGGTGAAATATCTTGACAACCTCCTGTGGACGTGTGGTCTTTGCTTTTCACCTGTAGCTGGACGCCAGAGTGAACGCCAGGCGCCCAAAATGATATGGACAACAAGAATATGAAAAGAAGTCTCCCTTCCAACCTCACGGGTATTTGGTACCCGTGCAAGGCATTTGGTACCTCCAAAGCAGCGGACATGTCCGCCAACAAACGGTGCCGCGATGGAAAAACGCCGAACAACCATCCTCTTGACCGTAGCTCTCGGCACGGGATGACCGGTCGGACCTGTAGAGAATGACTGTCCAAGAAAAAAAAGGCATGTGTAATATAGACTCCCCATGACTCCCACATATGAAGAGGTTGTTCAATTCAAATGGAGAGGGTTTATTCATCAAGAGTCTACATTATTCTTCAACCAATCAGTTGGACTGGTTGATCTCTCTTCACCGAACCCAGTAGGAGTCAGAACGCCGAGGTCTGCCATGGTCCTCCTACGCACCAGCTGGCCGTGTGGGCGACGTCCGACGTCCTCCTTCGCCCCATCACCAAGCTGCTGAGCGCCAGGTGCTGGGCGTCCACCTTCAGAAACGCCTCGCCCAGTGCAGGGCTGGTGGGTGTTCGGTGGTGCGCAAGATGAAGCGATGACCCGGAAGCTTCAAAATGCACGTCAAACTTGAAAACTCCGTTGCTTTGAGAATCTATCATTCAAAGACTTCAAGTCCTAAAGTCCGACAAGTCCAGCGCTTGACCCTCTGTGAGCTGCATTTGAGCACTTCCTTAGAAGGCATGAAGAACTCAAGAATCAACCAAAGTCATGAACCACCTGCGGGACATTGAACTTGCACACTTTTACAGTAAAACCCAAGAATATCCAAGAATGCTTACTGCATTGCACTGTACGAACATTTTCCTAATTCCACAGCAATCATTAGCGATCTGCTAATCAAGGTAAATGACATACAACAGTTCCAAACAGGTTCTTGGATCTTCTTGGCGCATGTTCCCCACAGCTCAAGACCCGCGGTCTAAAAAGCTCATTGTTACAACCAGTCAGACAAAAGAAGAAGTTCCCCCCCTTTGGTTGGTCCAACCCGCTTCGCGCACTTCTTGGCTCCCTTTTGACCATCGACCGCCCGACGGCCGCCGCGCGACCGGGTCGCGACCTATGAAGCCACCGAGCGGAGCGGGCGGCGGTTGCAGTTGCTTTGTGGCCTCCAAGGCCTGTAGGGAGCTGCCAGAGGATCTGAGTTGCCGTGACGTCTCGGAAGCGTAGACCTCTCGAAGCTAAGGCGGCGCGCCTAGCTATATATAGGCGCCACACGCAGTGAAAAAGGGATGAGAGGCAGGGCTCAGTGGTTTCACGGAATCTGTCTGTTTTTGGTTTGCACGAAATGTCCAAAGACCAGCTCAATTGTGGCACCGACGCTCGAAGACTGCGACAGTATGGCCTGGCACCCACCCTTTCGATCAGGTCGCAAACTTTACACACTCATGGGCAATGATGATAGAATCTTGATCAACATCGTCGTAGCCATGCTATTTGCTGACAAATCAAAAGCATGCCCAAAAATCAAAAAGGATGCTGCATGCAGTCTATTTGTAGAGGCCTTTGTCTGGGACAGGTGATAAATTCATGTCCTAGCGACCTGACTGAGAACTGACCCAGTTGCGGTGCCTGAGCCAGGCCCAGGACAGACTCCTTGTGCTCAAGATCCAACAAATTCTTGGTACTCAAGATATTCACCAAGCTCACCTGGGGTGGACTAGTCTGTTGATGGCTAGCACAATAAATCAAGATTCTGCTCCAAAAACCAACATGATGATGATGATTATGATGATGATGATGATGATGAGGAGGAGGAGGAGGGGGAGGATGATGATGATGATGATGATGATGATGATGATGATGATGATGATGA